TGTTAAAACAGCCCCTGCTTTTTGCCTTCTCGTCTGGATTATAAGGAGAACTTTCATCTTCTGCCTTGTCATTCCTTTCATCTTCATCAAAGCAGCAAGTACTACGTATACTGTTGCCACATTGGTGTTTGGGGTTATTTTAAAACAAACCAACCAACCCTCTCACCAGCTGCAGCATGATTCCAGAGACTGTGGAAAGGTAGAGAATGGGCTCTGGGAAAATGTCTGAGGACTATCTTGAGGAGAGTGTCAACGTCTGTCTTAAATGTCTTTTCACAGCTTCAACTTGGAGTCTGTCAGCTCCATGTATTGACTTGGAGACTTTTGATTTAACTACAGCATGGCCTTTGAGGCTGGAGATGGCCTGGCTTGTTAGCATCCTAAGGTTGTGGACACTATGCCATCTAACAGTCTGAGTTCAAATCCATCAAAGCTCAGAGTGGTTTCTGAAACCCTTGGATTTGAACAGATTTTGCACATCATAGGTCCTTTCCCACCAGAATTTGGGAATCAACATGTGGACAAGAAGCAGGCCCACTGTTGATAGCTCCTTTCTGGTGGGAAATAATGCTGCAGTTGTCATTTCTATGTAACAGGAGCAGACGCTAAAGTTCAGGGCAATTTATTCTAGAATCTGCCTCCTAGTCTGAGGCAGGGCTGGGATCAGTGCCAGGAGGCCTGACTGCCAGGCCAGTCTCTCCCAGAAGTGAAGATACCAGCAGACCATAGAATGATTCAGATTTGAAGGGACTGATCCAACTCAAGTCCAACTTTCAAATTAGATGAAGCTGCCTGGAGCCTTGCCCATCGCAAAGAATTTATGACTTGGGTGACACCAAGACGAAGCCATTCAATGGGGAAGCCACAGGAGGCAGCAAATTCTCTGGTCCTGCAACAGATCTGCAATCCTAAAGCCAGCCAAGGATCCTCACGTTGTGCCCAGTTCAGCTGTTGACTCTCCAGCTGCTCTGCTGCCCCTGAGGGCTGTTTGCCATGGGGAGAGGAGCAGCTGGCTGCACGATGTGGAACGTCTGCGTTTTCCCAAGATAGCCATTGTCTGTCTGCAGCACCAGCCTCCACCCTACTTGCTCACTCAGCCGTGGCTGATGTGTCTTTAATTAAAGAGGAGGAACAATCTGAGATTTCGTTTTCTTCTCTCGACTATATTTTCCACTTTCATCAGAATTTGCAGGGCTCCCTCTCCGTATTTTGGTCTTGTAGTTTCGCTGTGGGTCCTGTAGTTTATGGAGTGTCTGTTCTAAAATGAGGAAGAAATAGGAAAACATAGCTTGTTGTGGGCCAGGGAATTAAGATCCCGGGTCAGATGGCTGCTATGGTCATTAACATATTTACATTTTTGCTTAAGAGCCTGGTTGAGGATCAAGGGAGTTAAGGATGATTGTCATTGAAATGGGGAGGAAACCTTGCATGAAATTGCCGTTAGTGTCCTATTGTTTGTGGGGGGAGAGGGGGGGACAAATGGTCTTCCTGATCCCTGCACCGCTTGTGTTGCACTTGTTTGCCCAAGTAGATGGGCAGAGGCAGAAGGAACCCTGCTGAAGGAAGCTGCTGTGCTGGCCTAGCTGCTGGAGGCTTTGCCTGGCAGAGTTCCCCGTGGGGCTGGAGCTGGGGCTCCACGCAGCCGTGCTGCTGGCTGCCCATCGCCTGCCCTCTCCCGAGACAAAGGTGCTCGCCTGGGCCGGTGGGACAACCAGCCCTTAGTGAGATCAGCATGGATAAATACATGAAGCGTCTAGCAAAGGTCAGTTGTCTCTTTATAACTGATGGAGCCAAGTGTTTTGAGTGTGCCGTCACATGCTGGTTTTGCCATGTGGGGGGACACAGGACCAGCTGAACGCCTTGGGTTTTGTGGCTAGCTGTGATATGAGAAACAGAGTTTGAGGCAGTTTCAAGTATTGGGGTGGATTTCGAGAGCTATGATGACAGATGAGATTTTTATATGCTGAAAAAAAAAATGTTTAAACATAAATAAGAGAACTCCCTTACAGCTGGAGTTTACAGTAAAACATTCTGCTCCAGGTTGTGGAAGCAGTGGTCTAGTCCTGCTCTGAAGCAGGCCTTTTTAGCTCAGATGCCAGTTGTTCATTGTTCACTTCTTACACCTTCATGCTGTTCAGATTCACCATTTTAATTCAAACCTGTTTCTAATTAGTATTATTAACTTAGTACCAAAAAAGAAAAATTATACATAGTAACAGGAAAGAGAAAGGTTCCTGAGCAGGTTCCTAGTACTGAAAACACTAGCTGCCTTCTGCACTGCTTGGACTTCAGCGCAACAAGCAGCAAGACAGTGAGCTGAAGGAGGAATGCTGGTGCCTGTTGGTGTGAGAAAGAAGCATCTTCAGAGCAGAGGCTCATTTTGTAACCACCTTCAGGCAGACAGGCCTTGGCCGTATGTCCGTGTGGGAAGGCAGCAGCCAGTAACAAACAGGTATGGACAGTACTGCTCTGAGCGACAGGGTCGTATCTGCTCTCCCACTAGTGAGTCCGGAGTCAGTATATTCTCCTGTGGGCTGGTTTGAAGCTCTGAATTGGTTGTGTAATTTTTGTTCTTGGTTACAAAATGTTTCTTTTTTGAACGCTTTAAAGTGGAAGAAAGTCTGGGAAAGTGGTTTGTGATATGAGCAGCTCTTTTGTGCTCTGGGAGTCTGTGTGCCTCAGCTCTGTATCTCTTCTGCCCTTTGATGGAATAGCCCTGTTCCCTGTTGATCTTTCCTACAGAGTCAAAGAATGAGCACACAGCGTGGGGAAAGTCCCACGCTTCTGTCTCTGACCCTGGCCCTGACAGTAAGGAGGCATTCAACCCTTCAGATAACAAATGGTTTTGTCCTAGACAAGATAGGTTCTGACAACTTAAATGTCAAGATACAGTTAAAGTGGTGCAGTTAAGTAAGTTGTTGGTTAGGTCAAATGTTTTCAGAAAACAAGGATGAACACAGCAGTATCTATGGGATTGCAGGTGTTAGATCCTTTCACTGAATGACTCATCTCCCAGCTTCTCCAAATTCCCCTTGAGAAAGGTCATCTCAGGTATTATGCTAATAATACTTTATTTCCTGGGTAAATTTCACAGCAAACTTAGGCTGGCTTGGGAGTCCCAATAAGAGCCAAAAAGTCTTAGAGCTGAGCCTGAGGGCAGAAGCCCTGATTCTGGGGTTGGTTTTAGAATCTGATGTATTAACTCAAATCATGAGAGTGGGCTGGAGTAGAGGAGTTAGACTTTTCCAGGGATTAAAATTAAGCCCTTATTTGACAGTAAACAGATGATGAAATCCACCTTTGTGTCTGAGTGCCAGCAGTCAGAGAGGTCCATCCAGGCCACCTCATGAGGACAGAGCAGCCCTTGGCAGAGGGCGGGGGAGGGTGCCCAGCTCTCACCACCTACCGTCGCTTGGTTCTGTCGTGTGTAGTCCGCTTGCCCCAGCAGCTTCCTCACAGAGGGGCTGCTGCTTTGCTAAACCAGCAGAGCAGCCCTGCTCCAGCAAGGCCTGTGATCTCCCCTCCTCAGGTTAGACAGCTCCTCCCCACCAAAGCAGCCAGGGACAGCAGCGTCCCCGGGAGCAGCGGGACAAAGGTGCTCCTGCCCCAGGAGCTGGAGCCAGATCCTCGCGCGTGGGCACCGCGTCCCGTAAGGCAGCTGCCCGGGCCTGAGGCCGGCCTGTCCCACAGCTGCCCTGCTCGCTGTGGAGCCGTGCCAGCCCTGCTGCTGGCAGGCTGCCCCCCTGCCACGGCCCCGTCTCGCCTCCTCCCTGCCGAGCCAGCCCTTACTCCGCCGTGCCAGACTGAAGGCCCGGCGCCCGTTCAGCTTTTGTTCTCTGTTAGGAAGGAGCGAGGATTGTCAGGACCTTTTTGGCTCTGCCAAGGCCTTTTATGTCCCAAATGTTTCCCTGAAAAGACTCTCTCCTGGCCACCCTGCCCCTGACAGCCATTCAGTCCAGCCAACAAGCTTGATATCATTATCTACAAAAGGAGGCCAGCGAGCACCAGGTTCCAAACAGCCAAGTTTGGGAAATCAAAGGCAAATCTCCCAGCAACAGAGAGCTGGCAAAGATGGGCCTGCACCGGCGCCAGCGCGGGCTGCTCTGGCAGCTTGCACACAAGGAACGTGCTCGGCGCGGAGCCAGCGCTGGCACGGGGGCTGGGGGTGCACTGCCCGCGGGCAGGCAGCCCCTCCCCAGGCTGCTGGAACCAGTCCTAACTTTGAACAGCCTCGCCAAGCTCTTGTCTCTTTTGGTCAGTGGCATTTTTGGGAGATTAACCACCTAGTCTGAAGGAAAACGGTGATGGGTTTGGTCAGAATGGGAATCACTCCACATCTCATCTGGGACTTTCCTTCTAGTGACTTTGGTCTACATTCTGAAAATGACACATGGCTGTCTTGTCCCTTTTAGTTGGACATAATGTTCACCTGCTTTGCTTCCTGTCCAAAGACTTTCCTTCTAATCCGTATTAAATTAAAAAGCTCTTCAGCAGTGAAAGCACTTACCATTTTGGAAGGCATCTGTAGAGGTGGTCTGGAAAGGTAACTGTTGGAATCACAGCAGGGAAAGGGCTTGAGGAGGGATGGCATATTCCTGAGTTGCAATTGTGTTAGGAAATACAGGGGTAAAACTGTTTTCAGTACGTTTTATCTCTCAGAGTGCATCTCTGGTTTGCTTGATAGTCCAGATAGAGGTGATATAAAAAATAGCCAAGAGAAATGATGATGCAAAGGGAAGGAAAGTGGTGGGAGCTGACTTAGTTGAAGCTTGAGGGGAGACAGGGTGATGGTGTGGGTGATGATGATGCCTGGGTTCACCCCTCTCTGCAGCAGGGTGCTTTGCAGTCCCTGAGCAGCAGAAGGAAGCTGGAGACAGGGTGATTGCAGAGCAATGTGTCACCAAAGCCTAGAGCAGCCCCTGGGGTCCCTGTGGGGCTGCTGCAGGTGATGAATGCATAGGAGGGCAGAGTTGTGTGCAACATGGAGTGGTTAATTCTAGCACTTTCCCCTCCTGTCCCAGTTCGATCCCGACAACACCGGCTACATCAGCACCGAGAAGTTTCGCTCCCTTCTCCAGAGACACGGCTCGGAGCTGGACCCCCACAAGCTGGAGGTCCTGCTGGCCCTGGCAGACAGCAACTCTGAGGGGAGGATCTGCTACCAGGACTTCGTCAACCTGGTGAGTGCTCTGGCTGGCAGGGCCTGTGAGTCCTTGGGTTTGCTTAAAACACTGGCTGTTAGGTGCCATCTCTCTCTCTCTTTTTCCCTTACGAGCACAGCTGTTTGCTGTGACCCTGCATGACTATCTGCATAGGCTAGCTGAAGCATTCAGTAGTGGCTGAACTCTCAAGCCAAGAGTCAAATTGCTGCTGATTTTTCCAGGTGAAACAAGTTTGCATGGGAAGAAACTGTGGGAGCTGTTGTAAGAGGAGCATGAAACAGTGGCTGCTGCTTAGTTCAGAGGCTTTTGCTCTGAATATCAGTTGGTAACTGTTGTACGGAGCCATTTGTTTGCAAGCAGAGGTCTGTCAGTCTGGATGTCTCCTATTTTATCTAGAGATTTCACCACTTTCAGACAAAATATATAGATAATGTTGTGGTGACTTGCTGGGTGGAGTCATTGTGCTTTTGTAGGCATCAACAGCAACAGGGATAAAGTGTTTCTAGGTCACATTCATGTTATTCCAGGTGAGATGTCTCAAACTGCATGAGTCATGGTCTGTATGCCTCTTTATCTCTACTAATGAGTCAATTGGTGAAGGAATCCTGCTGTTTCTTGTGAAGGCAGTTTGATGAGTCAATATGGGTGTAGGCATGTGGTGCTAGATGCCCAGGATGGCCTAGAAATGTTATTTGCAAGACAGGTATCTTGAAGAGTGGCCATCCAGGGGCTCTGCTCTGTTCTTGCTTTGTCATTCCCCACCTGAGTCCCAGCAGATGCAGTGCAGCAGTAGGTGAAACCGTGTAACCAAGTCAATGAGCAGTGAAAGTCAGTGACCTCTCTGAGGTTTCACTGGAAAGCTGGATGTGTTCTTGATGCAGAGTATAATAATTTGTAACTCTGGGTGTTCCTGCAGTCAACGTGGGGATTTGATCCCTCCGTTTGTCATGGTCACTGGTGCATGTGTTTGTGGCTTAGAAAGTGTCTTCTGTATGTCCTGTCTTCACATGAATCAGAAAAGTATAACAGGGCACAGCTGTCAAGGACCCGGGTCACATCCTCACTCAGGCCGTGGGCAGAGTGAAGGTGAGATTACTGGGATGCAATGACATAGATCTGTGTACGTCATCAACCTGTCTTGTTAGCCCCTTGCATGTATGTAGAATGTAGGTCTGTTAAAGAGATCACAGTGAGTGAGGGTTTTCCTCAGCCCCAGCTTGATACGCAGGGTGGTTGATGGTACTCTGTGACCAGCAGTGGTTTTATAGTAACAGCTGCTTGCTCTACAGTTTAGTACATTGGAGGTACCATGTGAGCATTCACTAACTGGGCTGCACAACACTTAGGTAGCAGGAAGAGGTGTCACTACTTTCTTTTACAGAAATGATGGCCTGGGGCCAACCAACACGCTGGCAATGGGCTCAGGAGTAGAACTGGGCTTTTTCATCTTTCCTCACTCCACTGAGCTCTGGAGCAGCACAGACTAATGAGAGGCAGGTGGGAGGTGGAAGGCTTGGACATCCTCCTCCTCTGGGGACTAGGAGATCGTGCCAGCTCACACCCACCCAATGTGATTTCTGCAAAATGGCAAATTTCCTGCACTGCTATTCAATGGTTCCAGTGAAGGAGCCATTGATTTTTTCTGTCATCACTCCTTCTATCCTCAGCTGCATTTTTTGCACTTTCTCATCAATAGGCAATGCAAATGCCAAAACATTATACTACTTACAAATGGCATCTCTCTTCTCACTCTCCTCTAGTTGCTATTGATTTCCAACATCCAGTCTTTTTAGGGGGCCTTCTCTTTTCCCTAGTTTCCTGCTCCCAAACCTGCCTTTTGAACAGGGGCAGCACAGCTAGCACAGAATCACTGTGAAATTAGTGATTTCCTTCACTTTATAGCTGTCAGTCCTGGAAACAGTGTGTTGTGGTGTTTCAGTGCACACTTGCACTTGATGATCATCAGCTATCTCTGCTTTTTGCTCAGGTTGTCTGTTTCAGTAGCTTACCAAGAACTGATCTACTCCCAAAAATGATGGTGCTGGATGTGGGGAAGGGAAGGGCAAGGCCAACCTTCTGCTAGATCCACAGAGGTTTTATAAGCACAGCTCTCTGTGTGTGGTTTTCCTTTTCTCCATCAATATTCCTGAACTCTAATATCATCAGAGAATCTCCTGGCCTCCCAAGTGTGTCCAAGGTACTGAAACTTTGGGCAAGAGATAAAATTGCATAAATGAAGCTCTGGCTACTGGAGAGGCCTTGAGGGGAGGAGCGGGGCTGAGTGTCAAAGATGCATTCCAGGGCAGTTGTCAAAGCAGAGGTGTGGAAGGAAGGAGACTCCTCTGTGTGTGCATCTGTGTGTGTCACAAGCAGCTTTCTTGGTTTCTTTCCAAGCATGGGGATGGAAGGAGCTGATGAGCTGCCTGCTGCAGCTACTATGAAATAAATTAACTCTACCTCAGCCAAAACCAACAGAAACATGTGTGTCTAACAGAATCCAGGAGAAGGTAGGGTTTAACCACTGGGCATCAAGAGAACTCTGTCTTTAATGATCAGTTCTTGGGATATGATATGCTCTCTCTCTTTCCTCTCAGCTTGATAAAAATCAATACGGGGTGGTCTTCCCTTTTTTCAACTTTGTGTCATGAACTTCTAGATGTACCAAAAATTTAATTCTAGGACTTCTCGCCTTAATAATGAGACCCACACAAACTATAAATAATTTGGGTAATGAATAAATTCAGGGAACCTGAAAACTTCTGGTGTGATCTGTAAAGAGAACGGGATGAAAAAAAATCAGATATGCAACACATTGGGGTTTATTCCTCCTCTGTGTATATGAGATTCATCTCATGAAGTTGTAAAACTCAGTGCTGCAATCGTATCCTCTTCCATTTATACACCAGGGCTTGCAAGAACAGCAGAAGGCAGCTGCAGATGGGTTTTCTTATCGTCTGTCCGAGACAGTGCAGAGTAACACAAGTGTTTCCTCTGAAAGTGGAGATGTCTCACGTGTTTCTGTTGTCTGGTTACTTTTCTGCATTGTGAAGAGAGATGCTAAAAATGCACAGTGAAAATTCTGGCTGTGAACAGCATGGGCCACAGGAGGATCATGAACAAAGCTGTTTCACTAACTGTGCTACTTCTAGAGAGGAGACAAGCCAGGAAGTAATTGTAGTTGAGATGTCATTTGCTGGGATCCTTGCTGAACAGGAGTTGTTGCTGGCAGTCCTGGCTTACTTCTTATAATACGCTGTGAACTGTAACAGAGCTAAAGGGCAGAGCAGTGAGGCCCTGGAGAGACTCAGACTCTTATTCTTTTGATAAACCTTCCATGTCTTCTCAGCCTTGGAATGTGAATTGCTGCTTTGGACAGGCGTGATTGTGGCTTTGCCACCTCCTCACCTTCTTGATTCATTCCTCTTCAGTTATGTGAGCAGGGGCAGGGGGGTGCAGTGGAGCTTCTGAGACCTGTGCTTGACAGAGGGCAATGTGGAGCCAGTTCAGGCTGTGCTGGCAGTTTATATCCTCTTGCTGTGAAAATCAGGTAGGCAACTCCCAGAAAGGAGTTATAGGAAAAGTTTTACAGAACCTCCTGTTTAATAAAGCAGCTTTTGCTAGAAAGGTAAATCACAGGTTATACCGAGACTGACACAAAATCTGTTCTGCAGCCCAGGAGATTTGCTGGTTCAACTATACAGACCACTTTTGAACCAAATGTGTTGTGAAAGCTGACCTCAATTCCTGTGGTCTAGATTGGACCTGCTGGCATGGGGCAGGAGGACTTGAGAGGAAGGGAATGTGGCTATCCCCCATTCCAGCACTGTTTCTCCAGCAGATGGGAGGAGGTGAGAGTCGATATCATTTGGGGTTCACAGTTTTAGCAAAGTCAGTTCTCCAGTGGAAGAAGAGCCAGGTGCTAGGGAACCAGCTCTCTGGTGAGCACTTGCTTGAGGAGCTGTGTTGGGTCTAGAAGAGCTGAGAGCTAATGCTGTTCCCTGAAGGCAACGGTATCTCAGCATGTTTGGGAGGCATTAGTAAGCTCTGAGCCAGAGCTCACATGACTTGGGAAAAACAAAATATTGCTGCTTCCAACATAAATGTTTAGCTGTAGTTTTGTAGTAACTTGAAGCTGAGGTAATATCTCAGTACTGAGCAAAACATATTAAGTCATTAAATGCACATCCTTTGTTTTCCAGATCAAGAATTAATACCTGCCTTCTTTTCCCAGGCCTCGCTGGCTTCTAGGGACAGGCTAATTCTACCTAATTTTCAGTGAACAACACACATTTTTTTAAGCACTATGTAATGATAATCAGGTCATCCTAATCCAAATTTTGCTGGTGCCAGCACACTTTCCCCTCCAGAGAAAGACCTCCTTTAATTTTTGTGATTTCCTCTGTGGCTTGCTCAGTGTGCTGCCAAGCTGCAAATCCTGGCTCTTCAAGGAGAGAAACGAAACTGCAGATGAAGGCCAAGAAATCTGCAGCCTCTGCTCTTCCTTCTCACAAGTGAGAGATACACAGGTGTACTGGCCATAGGAGAAGGTGAGAGGAAGATATTTTTGCAGTAGTTTTTTACTTCATGGAAGAGGCTGGGACATGATTATCCATTAGTGGAAGACTGTCTTGTGCTATACGCTGTCGACCTGGAAGTTCAAAGGGGAAGTTATTACATCAAAATATTGCTGGAGTCATTAAAATCTGGGAGGCGAAGGGGTTGAAGTGACCACCCAGAGTCTTATGGTCTGTCTGTGCTGGTAGGTGCTGTAGAAACACAAAGGTTAGGACTGAGTGCTAGCTTTCCTGTCCTAGCCCCAGTGATCTGTGTAGGTGGTTGAAGAGACAGCAGGACTGGCTGGAGGGATAAAGTACTTTGGGATTGTGTTATAATCCACAAACAAAAACTGAGAGTCCAGAGCAGGTCCTGAAATCTAATAAGTGGGAAACGAACTGGTTCAGTGGAGGTTTTGACTTGCACTTTACAGCTTCATCAGTCTATAGAAATGTACTGTGTGG